ACCTCCTCCACAGAGTCCAGGGGCCTCCTGTCCCTCACCTCCTCCACAGAGTCCAGGGGCCTCCTGTCCCTCACCTCCTCCACAGAGTCCAGGGGCCTCCTGTCCCTCACCTCCTCCACAGAGTCCAGGGGCCTCCTGTCCCTCACCTCCTCCACAGAGTCCAGGGGCCTCCTGTCCCTCACCTCCTCCACAGAGTCCAGGGGCCTCCTGTCCCTCACCTCCTCCACAGAGTCCAGGGGCCTCCTGTCCCTCACCTCCTCCACAGAGTCCAGGGGCCTCCTGTCCCTCACCTCCTCCACAGAGTCCAGGGGCCTCCTGTCCCTCACCTCCTCCACAGAGTCCAGGGGCCTCCTGTCCCTCACCTCCTCCCTCACAAAGCAGATTGATGTCTGTAAATGATTAGAGAATTTACCGGTGAAATATATACATTATGATCTGTGCAATTAGCTCAGATTCTGCTTTTCTAGATTCTGGCGTTTTTCAAAACAGTAAATTTTTGTTTTGTCCTGAATCACAACAGTCTCTGGTCTGCTGTCGATTCTTCAGCAACAGATCAGAGAATCAAACAGTTCAACACAGGAAACACATAGAGACATTGGTCCATGGGGGGCAGATGACCAATGTCCTTCAATGTCCTTTAATGTCCTTAAATGTCCTTAAATGTCCTTAAATGTCCTTCAATGTCCTTCAATGTCCTTAAATGTCCTTAAATGTCCTTTAATGTCCTTAAATGTCCTTTAATGTCCTTAAATGTCCTTAAATGTCCTTCAATGTCCTTCAATGTCCTTAAATGTCCTTCAATGTCCTTAAATGTCCTTCAATGTCCTTCAATGTCCTTCAATGTCCTTCAATGTCCTTAAATGTCCTTCAATGTCTTTCAATGTCCTTAAATGTCCTTCAATGTCCTTCAATGTCCTTCAATGTCCTTAAATGTCCTTCAATGTCCTTCAATGTCCTTCAATGTCCTTCAATGTCCTTCAATGTCCTTCAATGTCCTTCAATGTCTTTCAATGTCCTTAAATGTCCTTCAATGTCCTTCAATGTCCTTAAATGTCCTTAAATGTCCTTAAATGTCCTTAAATGTCCTTAAATGTCCTTAAATGTCCAAGACCCTCTCTGTTCTTAGACTGCATGAACTGGAACAATGGCGTGAGGAGGTGATTCGATCCTGATTCCTAAAAGCCTAATGTCTGTATTTCTTTCAGATCCTCTGCGAAATTGCGAGTCGTTGCAGAACATAAACTTGTGCGGTAATCTCATAAACAGGTACGATTGTGTTGTCATTACAGGTACGATTGTGTTGTCATTACAGGTACGATTGTGTTGTCATTACAGGTACGATTGTGTTGTCATTACAATGAAAGTGATGTGTATAACTTTTGTCATTTGTTTTACAGCTTCGAATGCCTTTACGCTCTTCAATCTCTGAGAAAACTTGAAAATATCCGCCTTAAAGACAACACGTATAATTATTCCAATCCAGGTATTTTAGCAGCATTCCCAGACTCTTACAAGCAATGTGTGTATGCTAACTTGTATGCTAATTTGATGTGTGTATGCTAATTTGATGTGTGTATGCTAACTCCATGTGTGTATGCTAACTCAATGTATGTATGCTAACTCACCTTTTTGTCAGTTTGCAGAAACGCTGCTTACCGAACACATGTTTTAGAAATGTTTCCCAACATCAAAGTGCTCGATGGTACGTGGGTAATTTCTGACATTCTTTCGCCCTGTTCGCACTGGATTAGCCTTACTGGATTAGCCTCACTGGATTAGCCTCACTGGATTAGCCTTACTGGATTAGCCTTACTGGATTAGTTTTACTGGATTAGCCTTACTGGATTAGCCTTACTGGATTAGCTTTACTGGATTAGCCTTACTGGATTAGCTTTACTGGATTAGCCTTACTGGATTAGCCTTACTGGATTAGCCTTACTGGATTAGCTTTACTGGATTAGCCTCACTGGATTAGCCTTACTGGATTAGCCTTACTGGATTAGCCTCACTGGATTAGCCTTACTGGATTAGCCTCACTGGATTAGCCTCACTGGATTAGCCTCACTGGATTAACCTTACTGAATTAGCCTCAATGGATTAGCCTCACTGGATTAGACTCACTGGATTAGCCTCACTGGATTAGCCTCACTGGATTAGCCTCACTGGATTAACCTTACTGAATTAGCCTCAATGGATTAGCCTCACTGGATTAGACTCACTGGATTAGCCTCACTGGATTAGCCTCACTGGATTAGCCTCACTGGATTAGCCTCACTGGATTAGCCTTACTGGATTAGCCTTACTGGATTAGCCTTACTGGATTAGCCTCACTGGATTGGCCTCACTGGATTAGCCTCACTGGATTAGCCTCACTGGATTAGCCTCACTGGATTAGCCTCACTGGATTAGCCTTACTGGATTAGCTTTACTGGATTAGCCTTACTGGATTAGCATTACTGGATTAGCCTTACTGGATTAGCCTTACTGGATTAGCCTTACTGGATTAGCCTCACTGGATTAACCTTACTGGATTAGCCTCAATGGATTAGCCTCACTGGATTAGACTCACTGGATTAGCCTCACTGGATTAGCCTCACTGGATTAGCCTCACTGGATTAGCCTCACTGGATTAGCCTTACTGGATTAGCCTTACTGGATTAGTTTTACTGGATTGGCCTCACTGGATTAGCCTCACTGGATTAGCCTCACTGGATTAGCCTCACTGGATTAGCCTTACTGGATTAGCCTCACTGGATTAGCCTTACTGGATTAGCTTTACTGGATTAGCCTTACTGGATTAGCATTACTGGATTAGCCTTACTGGATTAGCCTTACTGGATTAGCCTTACTGGATTAGCCTCACTGGATTAACCTTACTGGATTAGCCTCAATGGATTAGCCTCACTGGATTAGCCTCACTGGATTAGCCTCACTGGATTAGCCTTACTGGATTAGCCTTACTGGATTAGTTTTACTGGATTAGCCTCACTGGATTGGCCTCACTGGATTAGCCTCACTGGATTAGCCTCACTGGATTAGCCTTACTGGATTAGCCTTACTGGATTAGTTTTACTGGATTAGCCTTACTGGATTAGCTTTACTGGATTAGCCTTACTGGATTAGCATTACTGGATTAGCCTTACTGGATTAACCTTACTGGATTAGCCTTACTGGATTAGCCTCACTGGATTAGTTTTACTGGATTAGCCTCACTGGATTAGCCTCACTGGATTAGCCTTACTGGATTAGCCTCACTGGATTAGCCTCACTGGATTAGCTTTACTGGATTAGCCTCACTGGATTAGCCTCACTGGATTAGCTTTACTGGATTAGCCTTACTGGATTAGCCTTACTGGATTAGCTTTACTGGATTAGCCTTACTGGATTAGCCTTACTGGATTAGTTTTACTGGATTAGCCTCACTGGATTAGCTTTACTGGATTAGCCTTACTGGATTAGCCTTACTGGATTAGTTTTACTGGATTAGCCTTACTGGATTAGCCTTACTACACTGCACATGGACGCTATAGCTGCAAGTTACACTGCAAAAAATGATTACATATGAGGTAATAATTGCTTGAATTAGGTTGTTTTTTATCTTATCTGATTATTATTTTACTGTTTTACAACAACCTGCTCAGGGACTACAGCTGTAAATTAGCACTGCTGCTACAACCTGGTACAATGCATCTCTCCTTTTGGCAAATGTTTATTGTACACTGTCCCTGTAAAAAAATAAAAATAACCATACCATACCATACAATACCATTCTGATTAACCAATGGGACAAAGCCATTTAGTCTTTCAAGAACTGTTGCCTTATTTTCTCATTCCAAGAGAGACATTTCTTGTGTCTTTTTAAAGCAAGATAGTTTAGTGTGTCCCATTGGCAAATCCTGCAATTGTTGACTGCTTTTTCATCTATTTTTGCAGTGTATATATCCTTGTAATGGTATATCAATATGTGTCTTACTGCTAAACATGTCATCCAGGCTACGGATGGGTTTCCATGCCGTAAAAAATTGGGTCATATTATGATTTGCTGCAAAAAATCTGTAAAAAACTGAAAATCAAAATGTCTACCGCAGTCTGGATTAGCTTTACTGGATTAATGGATTAGCCTCACTGGATTAGCCTCACTGGATTAGCCTCACTGGATTAGCCTCACTGGATTAGCCTCACTGGATTAGCCTCACTGGATTAGTTTTACTGGATTAGCCTTACTGGATTAGCCTTACTGGATTAGCCTTACTGGATTAGCTTTACTGGATTAGTTTTACTGGATTAGCCTTACTGGATTAGCCTCACTGGATTAGCCTTACTGGATTAGCCTTACTGGATTAGCCTCACTGGATTAGCCTTACTGGATTAGCTTTACTGGATTAGCCTTACTGGATTAGCCTTACTGGATTAGCCTCACTGGATTAGCCTTACTGGATTAGCCTTACTGGATTAGCCTTACTGGATTAGCCTTACTGGATTAGCCTCACTGGATTAGCCTTACTGGATTAGCTTTACTGGATTAGCTTTACTGGATTAGTTTTACTGGATTAAGACTCCATTGTTCAAGCCTGAAGCGATATGAAAAAGCGTGACAGAAAACAACATATGAAATAGAAAATGTGGTCAAACATATCCTGTGACTGTGACTTTACATGAGTTGAATTTCCAGGTGAGAGAGTCGTCGGCCGAGGGAGTGATTTGTACCAATTATGCAAAGATATTGACGATACTATTAAAGGTGCAGTATCTCCGTGTAAAAAACGCTAAACCACCTGTGCAGCCATTATCATAACTATTGTTAAATTTGGCTTTTTTTTTTTTTATAGCGGGTTCGTACAAAAATGGGCAGCTGGTTGAGCAGTCGGACTGTAAACCGTGGGTGGAGGATCATTTCTGGGAGATCAAGAGGTCCAACAATGCCATAGTGGATGAAGCCTATAAGCAGTTCAATGGTGAGTCTGTGTTGGAGATGTTTATGTCGTTTGTATTTGACGTTAAAACCATGGTATATTTCCCCAGATGTTCTTCATGAATGTAGGCTTCTTAACAACAGAGCGACTCATGTGATCTCTCAGACGGAGCGATCGATGAGCCTGAAGAAGCAGTCCAAGCAGTACGCCTTATAAGTCTGCTTTTTTTAAAGTTGGCGAAACTCACGGAAGTATTAATCGACTGTAACTCCCAGATTAAAACTAAAAAGAATTCTGAGATATTCTCCCAAGGTTTATTAACATTATTTGTAGGGTTTTTACTTTTACTCACTTTCAATGCTTAAGTGCTAAGACTGGTTAATATAACTTGAAATACAGCCAAAATAGTTAATGCTAATGCTAAAAGACTGAATGAGCAGTGTTGCCAACTCCTCAGTAAGGAAAGTAGCTATTGGCTGTCCCAAAAGTCGCTAGAAGTCGCTAAATGACGTCATCGCCTAATTTGCATAATCTGCAATTTGCAAATAACTGTAACGGACGCTGTAGGAGAGAGGAATATCGTTGTGGGAGAGACAAAAGTGAGTAAAAAAACACCCTAAATATGTTTAGAACTACAAATGTACAAAAATAATTTCAACATTAACAACATTTAATGATTTTAATGCTTTGTCTAGATCTGTCGCTAGTCGCTTTTTTGAAAAAAAGTCGCTATAGGGTCTGAAAAGTCGCTAAGTTGGCAACACTGTGAATGAATGCTGGTCACCATAGCAACACAATGTTAACTGCTGACAGTAAACAGTTTGTTGCTATGGTGACCAGTCCACCTTGGAAACAGAGCTTTATCACTAGGACTCCCAGAAGCCTGAAGCGACTAGAACTAGAGCCGTCATTTTGACTGCTCCTTTTCAAACCAATGGAATTCTGAAAATGTCCCCCAAAAATGTTTTTCACCACATTTATATAAAGTTGGGTACAAAGTATTTACCTTTACTCACTTTTAAATAAGTGCTTAAACTGTTGAACTAACTATAGCTTGAAACAGAACAAAGGCTAATGCTAACAGCTAACAGTAAACAGGGTGTTGCTATAGTAACTAGTACTGGCTCTTTCTCTAGGAGTAAATGTTAGGTTTAGTCAAAGATTAAAAATAACTTAATCATATAACATAATGCCATAGAAATAAACTACATAAAGAGACAGAAAGAGTTCTGAAGACCAAAAATGCTCATTTAGTTTTAGTATTAGCTTCGATTGAAATGAAGTCACAAAGTTATGAAGAGCAAGAACGCACATGAGTAAGTACACTTCCGGAACCGAAAGCCGTTAGATTGACTGCTGTGGAAGTTCTCGTGTCGGAGTTGTGTGGTGGTTTTCTGTTGGTTCCAGCTTTACCCACAAGTGTCAATGACCGCGCACTTTCTCTGTGCAGCCATTTGTTTCCTATGCACTAATTCTAAAAGTAAAAAGTACATAGTTTAAAGAGTCATCTACAGTTACTCCCGCTTTGTCTCCGTCCTCTATTCCACCAAGACAGATTTTATTTCTCCATCTGTCATCCCGGCGCCATTAGTGTCATTCTTATTTGCATTATTTATTATTGCGTATTGTTTTTGCTACATTTTACAATTAATAATTCATATATTACTATGCTTTAGTATTCTCTGGCACCATTATTGGTCGGACCTGTTAACCTGAAAAATGTGGAATTTTACACTGAAATAAACAATAATATTTCAGTTTTTGGTGGAAAATCTTTCTTTTAACATGGCAGGATTATTAAACATGTTTACAAATTGACAGTAGAAGAGAATGAACAAATGTCTCGTGATATACAAGAGTCCAATATATTTCTGATTCTCATGTTATTAAAGTTTACATTTTTAGGGACAATCATTGGTAACTTTCAGATGAGACAAGATATTGTTTATATTCTGTATTATTCATCATGGTAGAATAATACAAGAGGTCATAGGTTAAAGCTGAGGATCTTAACTTTTTTCCCCATTAATAATACACATACTTGTAGTTTGTCCCAACAGAAGGAGATTTTAAATGTTTTTATAATGGACTTATTTTCTTATTTTCAATGGACCTAGAATAGTTTTTTAGAAGACTATGAAAATGACATTTGTGATTCATTTGTACTTCAGTCAAATGTTAGGTACCCCAGATTCCCAAACATACCTCTCCTCATCTTTAATAAATATAAAACATTACAATTGGCCTGTTTAGTCGCACAATTGTTTTGGCCATTTGTCCTGTAGCTCTCACTCCACACAGATGGGAGTGGGGTAAATGTTATGGGAAACCGGAGCACCCGAAGGACATTACTATAGTTACACAGTGTGACCTGGCCTCCCCTACGCATGGTCGGTTAAGAGAGCTCAGAGCTTTCTAGAACGTGCTGGAGCCTGTCTCAGCTAAGCCCCGCCCCCCTGGCACCTCTCCATTTCCGGTGCGCTCGCGGACCCTCCTTTGCCAGAAGCTTCCACGTGCGGTGACAGAACTTTCATAAACCGCTCACGGCTCCTCCGACTTCACTTCAGAATATTCAGCAAAGCGACTGAAGCAAGACTCCTCCAAAGTAAGTATGAAGCAATGTTATTAAGGCCTTTACTAACGTGTAGCAAGGAAATGACGAGGTTATAACACAGACAATAACCTTCTCTACGTATAGATGGTTCTTCGATGACGTCACGCACTACCCACAATTCCGTATTTTTTTATATTTTGGAATCAATTAATAAATCGAAATATGGGCCTTCGCTTCTCTCTGCACATCTGCCAGGACTGTGTCTGTCTGCCTGACACGTGTCATTATTTTTTTGCAGGTATTTTTGACAACATTCCTAGGACCTATCCCCAATTCAAAATATATAACTTTATTGTTTTCAATTGGTAATCGCAATTATGCAACATTCTTTAGCATTCTGTAATCATCGATTTGGTTAGAAGGCATCACCAGGAGAAATAGTATATTGATAGTGTTTTATTACTGTATTTCTGCTTTTTTTATGTTTAACCTTTATTTTTGCTCACAATGTTTTTGAGATAAGGGACCATAGGAGTGCTTTTTTGTTCTGTATCTGTATGTTTTGTTTCATGCTATCACCACTTATCCATGTATTATCTCATGTTTGTGACGCATACATCTACAAACTGCTTCATAACAGATTTGTGTGTACTTGTAGGTCTTCAAAATGGTTCATGAAACTGGCTACTACGACCTCTTGGGAGTCAGTCCCACTTCTTCGCCAGATGAAATCAAGAAAGCCTACAGAAAACTGGCGCTGAAATATCACCCGGACAAGAACCCCAATGAAGGAGAACGAGTGAGTAACGAGCTGTCACAGGCGGTGGCTAAGTTTAGTGAACCCAAATCGTCACGAGGGTCCAAGAACTTTCTGGAATTCTGTCTGTCAGCAGCAAGAGGGTGGTGAATGGAGTCAACAGTGCCACCTCCTGTTGATTATGAAGTATTGCACAAGGTTAATTTAACACTAGAATTCTCAGAGCAGTCAATTTGAGCTCAGTCTTGTACACCCCTAAATCAGAACAGTAGTTATCTCGGAGGTCTTTCCACAACCGTTACATTCGCCAACACAGAACAGAGAATCATACGGTTCAAACACACACAAATTAAACGGAAAACACATCTTGGGGCAGATGTGTCCTGGATCATCACCCGAAAGGACCGTGCAAGACTTTAGTTAGACCGTTCTTAAATAAACTCAGGTAAAGTGTAATTTCTCTGTATGCATGTTTATTTTTTTGTGACTTTTTCTGTGTGTAAATGTAATTGTCGACTGGTTCAGAGCAATGTCAGCTTGGGGCAAGTGTTAGTAACCATAGCAAGGGTTACCATAGCAACACACTGTTTACTCTGTGTTGCGACGTTGCATTTCGTTTGTAGTTTTGTTGTATTTTAGTTGTATTATTTTTTATATTGAAGATAAAAAATAAAATAAAACTGCATGGATGACCTTAATAAAAGTTGTGAAAAAATTAACTTTTTTATTTATTTTTTTGGGGTATTTTTCAGAATACAATTATTTGAATGGGAGCCGTCAAAATGACTGCTCTGGGAGTTCTAGTAGTTTCAGGATTCGGGGAGTCATAGAAAGAATCTGAACCAAAATTCAGCACATATGCGTCCTTCCATATGCACAAGGCAGGATAAGAAATGTTGTATTTTGGTTTTTTTAGACTAACCAAAGAGGTAGTTTATAAATTATTGACATTGGAAGATTACTAGATATTTAATTTCAAACAAGAGTGTCAAGAAGAGCTCAAAATGATCTGTGTCAGTAAGTAAGTAAGTAAGTAAGTAATCTTTATTTATATGCCGCCTTTCACAGACCAGAGTCACAAAGCGGTTTACAATGGTTATTTTTGGGCATTTGTCTCTCACTCCACACAGAGATGGGAGCGGGGTCGCCGAACAGGAGGCGCATGCCAGACCTATTGTACATATTTTTTAGTGGTAGGGGAAACCGGAGTACCCGGAGGAAACCTACGCAGACACGGGGAGAACATGCAAACTCCACTCAGAAAGGCCCTTGTCCGGCCGGGATTCGAACCAAGGACCTTCTTGCTGAGAGGCGAGAGTGCTATCCACTCAGCCACCGTGCCGCCCACAGACGGACCTATGGATCGAGGTCAGACCTCGATCCATATCATCATAACCTGGCAAGAGCCAGATTGATGATTGTGTAGAACTCTAATGCGTTCTCCACAATATCAATCTGGGACTTCTGCAGGAGAATCCTATCGGAGAAAGGAGGGATAAGCAGCAGAATACTTCAAGCTGATTGGGCGAAGTGACGCTGTGTGCCCGCCTACCAAAACCCGTAGGTAAAAATGCACAAACATCTTTGCCGTCCAGAAATGCACAAAGCGCCTCTCGCTGTTCATCTTTCAAAAAAGAAATTGGAGATTCTGCTAAAACTGACTTGATAGCCTCAGCTACGCGTCCGTCCTCCTGCGTAGCCATGTTTGTTTTGCTTCAGCCCGGCACTTCTTGCTTTCGTCAAACCCGCCCTTAACCCCCAGACTGGCGCGTGATTGGCTTGAACACCTAGATGTTCGACTCGAAAAGGGTTGGCGGGAGCGGGACAAGGTGTATTCTCGAGTGTTTGTGAACTCACAAATACCGCGAGAATTCAGCTTGCAGGCAAGGTTAATATCATCAGTGTTTAGTGATAAAACATGAATTAATATTTACTAACTTTAACCTGAATCTCCAATGTATTCTGCCACTCGACTATGGATTTGTGGTTTATTCTGTCTTCTCTGACTATCTGAATGACAACATACATTAATCGTTGGTTGTTTTGTTTTGTCCTCCCGCAGTTTAAGCTAATCTCCCAGGCTTATGAAGTACTCTCCGATCCAAAGAAGAGAGATCTGTACGACCAGGGCGGCGAGCAGGCGATAAAAGAGGGCGGCATGAGCGGAGGGCAGAATCCCATGGACATCTTCAACATGTTCTTCGGAGGCGGCGGAAGAATGCAGCGAGAGAGAAGAGGTTTGTTCGTTTTTTTGGTGTAAATGAGCAAAAATTGGTTATTTTTAAGGTGATCTAAACTCAAATTGTTTGTTTTCTACCAGGAAAAAATGTTGTGCACCAGCTCAGTGTGACGTTGGAGGAATTATACAGTGGTTCAACACGAAAACTTGCACTTCAGAAGAACGTAATCTGCAAAAAATGTGAAGGTACCTCTGCCTGTTTCTTATTACTAGTTATTATAATTATTACTTTCCATTTCTTATGATTAGGGTTGAACATTTCTGGTAAATTTCCATGGGAAGTTGAGACATGTTCTACAACTGGGAATTTAATTATAAAGCAAATAAATAAATAAATCATATAAAAGCATGAATAGATGTTTTTAGATTATATTTGAGACTGTGGACTTCTATTGTCTATTCTTCTGTACATGTGATGGAGGCAAAGTGCCAGTAGGGGGCGTCACAGTAGCGCTGGTCTAATCTGCGACATAATCTCGCTCTGCAGGTTACGGTGGAAAGAAGGGCACTTTGGAGAAATGCTTGACGTGTAAAGGGCGAGGGGTGCAGGTCCAGATCCAGCAGATCGGTCCAGGGATGGTCCAGCAGATCCAGAGCATGTGTTCAGACTGTCAGGGACAAGGGGAGAAGTTCAGCTCCAAGGATCGATGCAAAACCTGCAACGGCCGCAAAGTGGAACGAGAAAAGAAGATCCTGGAGGTCCACATCGACAAAGGTACGAACCGTGTTTTTATCATACCATGTCTTATCTTTGAATTGTATGATTCTCTGATCTGTGTTGGCGAATCGACAGCTTTGTAAAGTCCCCAGAGATAACTACTGTTGTGATTTAGGGCGATACAAAAACACATTGAATCAAACATCTATAATGAATGATACTTTATAGTTGATAAGAAATGCATTTTATAAGAGCTACCAAGGCGTGTTATACCTATTCTCTAAAGCATTTAAACAGCCATAAAACTAATACTTTTTTTAGTAATATCATCGACCGAACCTTTAACTTGGACCCAGTTTTGGTTCCGTCCAAACACACAGTAATTAAAGTTGTTTTGTTATATTAAAAAATACTTATTAACTATCCAAATATCCATCCATCCATTTTCTTCCCTTTAATCCATTTCTGGGTCAGGGGGGTGGCAATCAGAGATGCCACCCAAGTCTCATAGCACCAGCCCCTCACTGACCCTCTGCAGGTGGTGAGTCCACAGGAGGACGGCTGCTCTCTGACTGTGAGCATAGCCTTGATCTTTTAACTATCCAAATATGACACTTTTATACTTTTTTATGCTTTTGCTGATTTTGAATGTCTGGTTTTGGCCCGGGAAAGATCAGAGTTGATAAATAGATTTTCCGCTGGTGCAGTCTATAGAGAAGTGCAGTTTTAAATGGGTTTCTCATTGACTGCCATTGACATATTTGCCTGAGACCCTCTATTCAACTGCCGATTACAGGACAATAAAGACAGCTAGAAACAAACTTATTTTTGCTGATGAAAGAAGACAATCCAGTCTTTCAGAATCTGGTTTCATATTTCACATAGTCTTAAGCAATAATATTCTGTGGGTCTTGAGAATCAGTGAAATCATCAAAAACGGCAGCAGTCAATGAGTTAACCGTAGATACATTTGCAGTGAGAGTCAGTTGTGTTGGCCTTATTTACAAAGTCCCTTTTCACGCCTGTTACTCATTCTCTTTCACAATTATCTCTCCTCAGATTTACGATACATAATGTTCATTGCATTTAATCGTTTTACAAGCCATAGATATTTGACATTTATTAACAGTTATAAATATTGCTCATCTGCCCCATATGCTTCGGTGATTATTGCACTTCCTGAGTAAGAACGATTTCTCTGATCTGCTGTTGAGAAATCGACAACATTGTAAAGTCGACTGATAAATGGCCCAAACAAATTGAATCAAAAAGTAAAATACAGCCAGATAACGTTCATGTCAAACAGAGAGAGTAGTTTTGTTTCCCTGGCATTTTAATGATATTTTTCTCACGAATATAATTTCTTTGATTTTCCTGTAGGTATGAAAGACGGTCAGAAAATCACATTCAACGGCGAGGGCGACCAGGAGCCAGGACTGGAGGCCGGAGACGTCATCATCGTCCTGGACCAGAAGGAACACGGGACTTTCCAACGCCAGGGAGACGACCTGATCACGAGAATGCAGATCAAACTGGTAGAAGCTCTGTGTGGATTCAGGAAGACCATCACGACACTGGACAACAGAATACTGGTCGTTAGCAACGCACCAGGTAGCATTAGCGTTGCAGAGTTTTTTAAAAAAAGGTGTAAGTGTTGCATTTCCAACTGTCTTTGTTTTGATTAAAGGGAAAGTCATTAAACCCGATGACGTCAAATGTATTCAGAGTGAAGGGATGCCGCTTTACAGAGAGCCGTTTGAGAAAGGACAACTCTGTGTGCATTTCCTGGTAAGACTCTGTCAGAGATGTGTAGAAAAAAAATATCTGTGCTATATTTGGATCTCTCTGGATTCTCTCTCTTTCGGGTCTCTCTTTCTGGTCTCTCTGGTGTCTCTCTGGTGTCTCTCTCTGGTCTCTCTCTTGTCTCTCTCTTTCTGTTCTCTCTCTCTCTCTGGTGTCTCTCTTTCTGGTCTCTATCTCTGGTGTCTCTCTCTTTCTGTTCTCTCTCTCTCTCTCTCTGGTGTCCCTCTTTCTGGTCTCTCTCTCTCTGGTGTCTCTCTTTCTGGTCTCTCTCTCTCTCTGGTGTCTCTCTTTCTGGTCTCTCTCTCTCTCTTTCTGGTTTCTGGTCTCTCTCTCTCGCTCTTGCGCTCTCTCGCTCTCTAGTGTCCCTGTTTCTTTACCTTTTTCCCAGTAACATAACCGTCCCATTGGTTGCAGGTTGAATTCCCAGAGAAGGACTGGCTTCCTGAGCACCTCATGTACCAGCTGGAGAGACTGCTGCCTCCCAGAGACGACGTGATGCTGACAGACGACATGGAGGAGGTGGATCTGTCGGACGTGGACGTTAACGCGCAGCAGAGGAAGACTCAGAGAGAGGCCTACAACGATGATGATGAAGAGGGTCCACGGTCTGGAGTCCAGTGTCAGACCCAGTGATCCACGTCTACGTCTCTGCACAGTCTGTTCTATTGCACATGGGTGTCGCTGCTTTATTTAAATGTGTGTCCAGGATTTCATTATGCTTTCTATGAAGGTAAACTCATTTTGTTAATAAAAGCCCATTTTCAAAGTCTGCGTGGCAATATCACCCTGAGCTCTTTTCTCTTTTTAAATGGTACAATTCATGACCTGAACCTCCAGAATTCACTCGTCGAGCTGCAAAAGCTGCTCTAGATCTGTCATTATATGCAGTTTTTTAAGGTTGTGGCCTGGATTTTAGCGTTGTTACTGACAAACCTGAGAGAGGGTCTAGAACTGGGATTCTTACATTTATTCCAGGGCCACGTTTGAAGCATGTTTGAAAATGTAATTCTTGGAACTTGATTTCTCAGAACAGTGATCGTGGTCTGCCCCAGAACAGCTGTAGCTACACCATACGTGGCTTTAGAAATTAATATATATAGTTTTAGAGCTCAAATTGGTTCTCGCAGTAAGTGTATGAACAATTCAAGCTAGATTTAATTTTGAACTTTTAGGTTAACCCTTTAAGTCAGGGTTGTCAAACTCTCATGGTCAGGGGCCGAAGGAAAACAATAGAAACTGGTGAGGTGCAGAAAGAGTGGATTTTCTTTATATTATGAAGGTAATTGGATATGACTTTTATTTAACATGGATAATTACATGATTTTTCTGAAAACAAAATGTATTTGGATTTAACAATAACTGGATCAAATATACACACTTTCACTTATAGTCATGTGTTGGGTTCAATTTTTTTAAGATAAATGAAATGGGGTTGTCTTCCTGATGAAATAGATGCCACTCATAATATACCATAAACACTGCGAGGTAATCATAATAAATGAAAATCACTTTGGGGCCACTTAAATGGTCTTGCGGGCCGGATTTGGCCCACTAGCCTGAGTTTGACCTGTCTCTGCTTTTGATGCTTCTAAACTTCATGGGTATATTATAATAACTGAACTCTTATCACTGGTACTTTTGCAGATCAGCCGATAGATGGCGCCAAAAGCTGCTTCAAATCTTCATGTCTGTACCCTGGGTCTGTTAATATTTTCAGTCTGGTCTGTGCTGTCATCAGGGTTCAGTGCAGGTAGAGTTTCACACACAACAAACGTTTTAAAACTAATGATACTACATTTTGAGGCAAGGAATAATCAATAATTACATGATTAATTGGATAACTCCATATTAACTTAGCATACATAACTGAGTGAGCGAAACATTTAGGTAAGCTAGTATGGATCTATTATATTAACTGGATAGGGTATTACTTTGGTCCCCAGAAACAAAGAGAGAGCGTCATCTGTCACCTACAGTCTCTCTCCCTAAAACCTTCAAACAAGGTCAGAAATCTAGGGGTAATACTGGACTCAGACTTACATTTTAATAGCCACATCAAATCAGTAACATCAGCAGCTTTTTACCATCTAAAAAACATTGCCAGGATCAAAAACATAGTGTCTAAAGCAGACTTGGAGATTCTTATCCATGCATTTGTCTCCAGTAGGTTAGACTACTGCAATGGCCTGCTCACAGGTCTGTCCAAACAGGCTGTAAAACAGCTGCAGTACATTCAAAATGCAGCAGCTCGAGTCCTGACTAGAACCAGGAAGTACGACCATATTAGTCCTGACTAGAACCAGGAAGTACGACCATATTAGTCCGGTCCTCAGGTCTCGGCACTGGCTTCCTCTGGCTCAGAGAATAGACTTTAAAACAGCTCTGCTTGTTACAAGTCTCTCCATGGCCTCGCACCAAAATATATTAGTGACATGTTAGTCCCATATGAACCAGCCCGGACTCTGAGGAGCACAGGGACTGGACTCCTGCTGGGACTCTGAGGAGCACAGGGACTGGACTCCTGCTGGGACTCTGAGGAGCACAGGGACTGGACTCCTGCTGGGACTCTGAGGAGCACAGGGACTGGACTCCTGCTGGGACTCTGAGGAGCACAGGGACTGGACTCCTGCTGGGACTCTGAGGAGCACAGGGACTGGTTTCCTGCTGGGACTCTGAGGAGCACAGGGACTGGACTCCTGCTGGGACTCTGAGGAGCACAGGGACTGGACTCCTGCTGGGACTCTGAGGAGCACAGGGACTGGACTCCTGCTGGGACTCTGAGGAGCACAGGGACTGGCCTCCTGCTGGGACTCTGAGGAGCACAGGGACTGGACTCCTGCTGGGACTCTGAGGAGCACAGGGACTGGACTCCTGTTAGTGCCCAGAGTCAGAACTAAACATGGGGAGGCTGCTTTTCAGATTCATGCTGCTAAAATCTGGAACAGTCTTCCTGAAGATGTGAGACAGGCCTCCTCTCTGACAATGTTTAAAACCAGGTTAAAGACTGTTCTGTTTAGCTGTGCATACAACTGAGGGATTTTATATTTTTATCTTTCTTTTTAATGTTCTGTGATTATTTATGATTTTAATGCTTTCTTGTTTTGTTCAGCACTTTGAATTGCCTTGTGTATGAATTGTGCTATACAAATAAACTTGCCTTGCCTACAGCTTGGAGCTGAAGACCCCAAATGCTCGCGGGATTCTCGCGGTACTGCAGACTAAACCAGACTAAACCAGACTAAATTCACGAGGGCACAGACATTTCCCCCATAGAACTCAATGTAAACTAAAACAGCTCGACCTCAGCTGACAGAGAACCTGACAGAGAACCTCCAGCTTTCATAAAGGTCGGATTTTGTGGGGATTTTAGTGTCCCTTGTCGTCCTGATCTGAATAACCAGCTACAAACAGCACCATCTGCTGGTGTACTGCTAGAACAGGGGTCGGCAACTCAAAAAGTTCAAAGAGCCATATTAGAGCAAAAATACAAAAAACAAATCTGTCTGGAGCCGCATAAACTTTACTGCCTTTTTAAAGGTTTTTATGAAAGCAACACAGGCTGTAAGCTGTATTAGCCTACTATCAAAATGAGTAAGTATAGGCTACAAATACATAATATGCATTCATGATTATTATATATATATATATATATATATATATATATATACATTTTCACTGTAGTGCAAGAGAGTGACGCACCATGTGACTCTGCTATATGCTTTAAGTTTAACTTTCCTTTTGTTGCGTTCATGCAATTGTAGAAATACAGTAAATACATCTGTTTTTGGCTCAGAGTTCACACACCTGCATTACAGCACTGTCTGTTCATATCCATCACGTCACACGTCGTCACGGCTGGAGTTGGCTGGAGCTGAATGTCCCGAATGGTGTTTTGCACTTTTTTGTTCCTCGTGTTGCAACAAAATGTAGCCGTAGAAGTTTGGAGATGAATCCTCCAGAATAACTGCGATCGCAGTGTTTCTCTCCAAACTGGGGTCAGCAGCCGATTTTCCACATGACTCTTTTTGTTCTTCAATATATTCTCATTACAAAGCAAACATGAAGCAGTCCTTCCTCTTTGACTTCCTGGTTCTTATCAACTATTTCCCTTTTTAGCTTTGGGATTTATGCGGACTCATGTGGCACATGCTGGTTTGTTTACAACAGCGGCCGGCGCGGGGCCCATGGCGGGGCCGCGTAACAGCGTAATCTCAGTTGACACAAATGTTAAAATTAAATATTTCTTATGCACATTTTTACTGCATTGGAAAACGTTAAGAATGTTGTCCCTCCTACAGAAACCACATTGAAACTAGAAATAAAATATACCCTTCCCACTCATTTTCAGACATTTTTGAAAAGGCTCCAGGAGCCACTCAAGGGGCACTAAAGAGCCGCATGCGGCTCCGGAGCCGCGGGTTGCCAACCCCTGTGCTAGAACAACCACATTAAACTTACAAATCTCTTTTGACACACTTCTGGCGCAAGAGGTGTGTCAAAAGAGATTTGTGTGTAAAACGAGAGCCTGTGCGTAACACTTATTACAAAGTGGTTATTTACACACAGATTGTTCTGTTACAGATATAAATGTCAAAGTGCACACACACAAATCTGGGTACACACGCACACCGCGTTAAAAGATCTGTGTGTAAAACATACTTTTTTTTTTCTTTTACACACACACATATATAATTACACACACACATCTATTTACACACACAGATCTATTTACACACGCACATATATTTTTTCGACACACACACAAATCTGGTTACAAACCCACAAATCTTTTTACACACGCACAAATATTGTTGAAACAATAATAGCTCCATATTCTTTCACAAAATCCCAAAGTTGTGACCAAGATCCAAGCGGTCTGCGAGTTTGTGGAAATGATCCCCGAAAAGAGTCACATGCCAAGCACAAATAAATGCTTGTGTCCGGCTGAAGTGAAGCTGTAGCGCTCTCCTCTGTAGCGAATACAGACGTAAAAACAGCTGGAGCGGCAGAACCTAAACTTTGGGACTGATTTAATCTAGTTTCCATTTGAGTGCTGTTCGCAGCTATCTCCACTCTGTGCTTTGACGATTTGTTTACGGTGTGACAGATGGAAGCGTGTATTTTGGTGTAAGGGCCATAGTTCCGTGGTGAGGGCAGATGCGTCATTAATTCTAATACACATTTAATCCACATCGATCATCCCCACACGGTTTAGAACAAGGCTAATAAGCGTTTTTGACCTTACTGCGGCGCACGTGCTAGGCTAGCATGACGCTGCATGTGCTCTTTGCTAGCAAAACCACATGTTCTTTTCAAATGTTAAAATGTATTTGGTTAAACAGATTTGCCAGTAGTTTTGAATATTCGTCTCTTTGGTATAGAATCTTGGTAGAATATGTGCAAATGTGTATAAATTATATGTTGTAGTTTAGGAAATATAAGTTTGGGATATTTTCATTAACTCATTGACTACTACCCGTTTTTGATGATTCCAATGGTTTTCAAGACCCGCAGAATATTACATGCTATGACTATGTGAAATATATAACCAGATTCGGATGGACTGGACTATCCAGTGTCATCAGGAAAAAAAGGTTTCTAGTTCGTTTAGTGAATAGCTCCAGAGGCTCCGCGAAAACAAACAACTGAGCATGAGCAGCTACGAGCATCAGCGCTGATGATTGACAGCCTTTGGCATCACGTGATTGGTTAACGTGGACGGCATCGTGGATTCTGAACTACAGCTAAGAGAGGGGAAGGCGGGACTTAACCATAATATTAGAATGAATAAAATGACTTATTTTATATTAACTATTATTAAAATGTGTAATTCATTTAGAGTTCCAGACTATCACTTTAGTATCGTCTATCGCAGTCAATGAGTTAATGCACTCAATTATACTTAAGATTACTAAAATAAAATTATGTTATCTCTATACTGATATATTTAATTTACTTAAAACATATATTCTATAATTAACTCTTTTTTTTTTTTTACACACCCACGCACAGACACACTCTCCCCTCACTTGTTCTGTGCTGCATCACTCTCCTTCCTCCACATATTTCTTATTCAAACTGTTTTTTTATTTTGTATCTGTTTGAATCAAGTATTAATGAATGCTGAATGTCTTAGGCCCAGGATCGCTGTTTGGAACCGGGCTGATGAAGAAGCGTCCCATGTCGTATGGGACACTGAGAGATGTAGACGACTGCTCCATCCTCTCTGAGTCTGGAGGCTCTGCAGAGAGTGATGCATGTGTTCTACAGGGACCTGCACCTGGACCTGGACCTGGACCTGGACCTGCACCTGCACCTGGACCTGCACCTGGACCTGCACCTGGACCTGCACCTGGACCTGCATCTGGACCTGCACCTGCACCTGGACCTGCACCTGGACCTGCACCTGGACCTGCACCTGGACCTGCACCTGGACCTGCACCTGGACCTGCACCTGCACCTGGACCTGCACCTGCACCTGGACCTGCACCTGGACCTGCACCTGGACCTGCACCTGCACCTGGACCTGCACCTGGACCTGCACCTGGACCTGCACCTGCACCTGGACCTGAACCTGGACCTGGACCTGCACCTGGACCTGCACCTGGACCTGCACCTGGACCTGCACCTGGACCTGGACCTGGACCTGCACCTGGACCTGCACCTGGACCTGCACCTGGACCTGGACCTGGACCTGCACCTGGACCTGCACCTGGACCTGCACCTGGACCTGCACCTGGACCTGCACCTGGACCTGCACCTGCACCTGGACCTGCACCTGGACCTGCACCTGGACCTGCACCTGGACCTGCACCTGGACCTGCACCTGCACCTGGACCTGAACCTGCACCTGGACCTGCACCTGGACCTGCACCTGGACCTGCACCTGGACCTGCACCTGGACCTGCACCTGGACCTGGACCTGCACCTGGACCTGGACCTGCACCTGGACCTGGACCTGGACCTGCACCTGGACCTGCACCTGGACCTGGACCTGCACCTGGACCTGGACCTGCACCTGGACCTGCACCTGGACCTGCACCTGCACCTGGACCTGCACCTGGACCTGCACCTGCACCTGCACCTGCACCTGGACCTGCACCTGGACCTGCACCTGCACCTGCACCTGCACCTGGACCTGCACCTGGACCTGCACCTGGACCTGCACCTGGACCTGCACCTGGACCTGGACCTGCACCTGGACCTGCACCTGGACCTGCACCTGGACCTGCACCTGGACCACCACCTCTGCCCCGAGGAACACACTGTGGCTTCACTACACACACACACACACACACACACACACACACACACACACACACACACACACACACACACACACACACACACACACACACACACACACACACACACACACACACACACACACACACACACACACACACACACACACACACACACACACACACACAGCTCTGACAGGTGCTTAGGCCCATGTTAAGGACTGGGCCTAAGCCCTGGACTCTGTGGAGGAGGTGAGGGACAGGAGGCCCCTGGACTCTGTGGAGGAGGTGAGGGACAGGAGGCCCCTGGACTCTGTGGAGGAGGTGAGGGACAGGAGGCCCCTGGACTCTGTGGAGGAGGTGAGGGACAGGAGGCCCCTGGACTCTGTGGAGGAGGTGAGGGACAGGAGGCCCCTGGACTCTGTGGAGGAGGTGAAGGACAGGAGGCCCTTGGACTCTGTGGAGGAGGTGAGGGACAGGAGGCCCCTGGACTCTGTGGAGGAGGTGAAGGACAGGAGGCCCTTGGACTCTGTGGAGGAGGTGAGGGACAGGAGGCCCCTGGACTCTGTGGAGGATCACCTCCACAGGCACAGGAGGTGCTAGTCAAAGCCACCTCCATCATGGACAACACCTCCCACTGCACAGGACTGTAGAGGAGCTGAGGAGCTCCTTCAGTGGAAGAAGGAGCAGGGCCTTTATCCCCACCGCTGTCAGACTGTACAACAAGTCACTGTATAAGACTGAAAAACCTGCACTAATATTGACACTTCTTCTCATTTCCACTTTTTTTTACATATGTCCTGTTTGCACATTTCTTACTTTCTGCACAATCTGAGTGTTTCTATCCCAACCGTGACATGTAAATGTCTCCAGTGTGAGATGAATAAAGTACATCTTATCTTACCATAGCAGCAGTTAGCATGTTATCCAAACAGTTTTTAATTGTGTAGTTATATTCCCCAGTTTTAGCCCTTAAAGCTTTTGTTCATTTAATTACCTTATTTGTTCAGCGTTGCGCTGCTATAGCCTTGTCATTTAATCAAAGTTACTGTATTTTACATTATCAATAGCACATTTGTAATTTTAGCTCCGATGCCCAATTCATATATTGGAATTATAAGTGAACTTGAATGAATAGCAGAAGTAGAGAATTTCTAATCAACCTGTTTATTTCTTTGAAACAGCTTTGTTGTTGACATTAAAAGCTTTGAGCAGACATTTCCAGACACACATAAGAATACGTTGCCAGCTTACCAAAACCATTTAAAATAAGTGTCAGAATATGCTAACGTGTGGTCATTATCTCTGTACTACAAACGTAAGAGAGAGAGGAGAGAGAGAGATGGTGAGGAACAGATTCTGAATTCTGATGAAAAGATTGAAACTTCCCTAGAAAAGCATGACTAGAAAAATAAACACTCATGAGGAAAATGTTGACCCGGACATTTCCCAAAAGCTTTTTTCAGGTGGCTCATTAAGTGCATACAGTATATTTATTGAACTGTTTATTTGGTTGGGGCATGTTAATGAACACACCTCTACACTCTCAAACACACTCATTCACCCGGAACTATTGTTTTGACATTTTATTTGCATCAAGATTAAGCCATATATTTCTTGTTTTAATCAGATTTGATGCATTCTTTTGATTCCACGTGATTAGCGTCACCTCCAGTTTTTGTTTAACCTACATTATTATGATTCTACAAAAATAGTCACTCACATTGAGACAAATGCAGAGACCGAAAAGAGATATAAAAAATCTGTGGATTGGAGCAGTTTTTATGTACCCTACGAATTCTAAAACTGAATGTTCAACAAAGCAAATAACCCGTTTAATGCAGGAAAAAAAAATACATATATGGCTCAAAATTAAGAATCTTCTCGGATATCACCGTGAAACTACAGCCCAGAGTTTACCAATAGGTACAAATATTCTCAAAGTTATTTTCAAAGACAAATAGTTCAGTGGTCTATTGTGTCGGCTCAGTCTCTTGTGTCGGCTCAATGCTAGTCCCCTCAGTAGCGCCCCCTGTAGGACCTTCACACGGCGCGCTAATGTCCGTGTCGCTGCTGGCGGCTCTCTGTTCGCTCACCAACACTCTGGGCTTCAATCTCCTGTCGCACACATTGAAGCTCTGTGACCTGTAGTACGGAAGAAACCTCTCGTCGGCTACAGACAGGTAGTCCGTCGAGTCTGAGAGGTTCCTTCTGGCTGGTATTTTCGGCGGCACGGGCGGCGGTGCTGTGTCTGGGATGCTTCCTTGCTCACGTTGCTCTGATTGAAACTGCGACGGCATATTTCTCACTGTCAATACTTTTGGGGTTTGTCCAAAGCCGCTCGGATGTACTTGATACTCTACATTGGCTGGCCACTGGTTTGGTGTTTGCCTCATCTGCTCCAACATGGATTTATAGTCCGTTTGTCCGGTCTCGGCAGTTTCTTTTGGATTGTAGATGATGCTACTCATAGTCCTCTTCTTTGTGACGTCGCCTTCAGGCTGTTCATACCTCAAAGATTTAGTTCTTTGTAGAGGTGTGGCAGCAGCTGGAACTTCCCGTGTTGGGCTTGGAGGTTGCTCTGGCTCATCCGGAGGGCTGACTATGATGGTACTCATCGATCGGCGCTTGGTCATGGGAGGTATAGTCCCTTGTTCTTCGGGTGGGTAGTGACGCAAGGATTTTGTACGTTTTGGCGACGAAGGCTTGAGTCTGTTCTTGTCCATCAACTTGTCCAATACCAGCGTACTTCCCTGTGAACTCCTCGCCACCGTTTCTTGACTCGAGCTTAGAGACAGAGGTTTCTGCTCACACGGAGATATAAAAATGTCCACGCAGGAGCTGGGCCTGGATCTGTCTATGCCACACACATCCAGGCTGCTGCCGTCCTTGTTGAGGGCCGGACTCGAGCGAAGACTCCTCTGTTTCTCTACCTTCTTAGCACCTTCGTCGGCGTCCTTCTGCTGCTGCGAGATCTCCTCCAGGTCCATGTGGAAGCGGTAAAGGCTGTATCCGTCGGCGCTGTTGATGCTGCTCTGGCGGAGCAGAGAGGACGGGTCGCACACGGACGAGTTTCGGGAATAGGTTCGGGTCAGCTCCAGCTTGTCCACTCCTGCCAGCTTCTCCAGAGCCACTGCCATCCTGCCGTGGATCTCCTCGAGCTGAGCCAAGCGGAGATCCACAGTCTGCAGAGAAGCTTTCATGGTGTTCTCCCTCTCGTTCACCTCCTCCAGGCGCATGGACATGTTCTCCACTCTGCAAGAAGAGTAGAGTAAGAATGTATTTCAAATGTTATGCAAATTGAAACTAAACAAAAAACAGAACAAAAACAGTGACTAGAAACAAGACCTGGGTTAAAGCAAAGGAAGGTTTCTCACCCATCATCTGTACTTCTTAGCAAGTTTGCTAAGAAGTACAGATGATGGGTGAGAAACCTTCCTTTGCTTTGACTAATCCCTGTACGACTGAGGGCTTACACAAACTTAAGACCTGGGTTAGACCTGCCATGGTTAGACCCTGGTTAGACCCTGGTTAGAGCTGTCCTCGTTAGACCCTAGTTAGACCCTGGTTAGAGGTCAGTGATTGGCTATGAAACAAGACACAAAATAAACAGAAATGAAAAAGAGGCAGACACTTATTTGGCTCCACCCCCTCACTCATTCAACACACACAAGACACACACACACAAAAGACACAGGCCCAAACTCTCTCCGACCACACACCTCCCACTCCTCGCTCTGTGCTGAAGTGCTCACTCCGCCACCCACTTTCTACATGGACTACAGACAGAAGTGTGTGTCAGTGGACTACAGACAGAAGTGTGTGTGACAGTGGACTACAGACAGAAGTGTGTGTCAGTGGACTACAGACAGAAGTGTGTGTCAGTGGACTACAGACAGAAGTGTGTGTGACAGTGGACTACAGACAGAAGTGTGTGTCAGTGGACTACAGACAGAAGTGTGTGTGACAGTGGACTACAGACAGAAGTGTGTGTCAGTGGACTACAGACAGAAGTGTGTGTCAGTGGACTACAGACAGAAGTGTGTGTCAGTGGACTACAGACAGAAGTGTGTGACAGTGGACTACAGACAGAAGTGTGTGTGACAGTGGACTACAGACAGAAGTGTGTGTCAGTGGACTACAGACAGAAGTGTGTGACAGTGGACTACAGACAGAAGTGTGTGTCAGTGGACTACAGACAGAAGTGTGTGACAGTGGACTACAGACAGAAGTGTGTGTCAGTGGACTACAGACAGAAGTGTGTGACAGTGGACTACAGACAGAAGTGTGTGTGACAGTGGACTACAGACAGAAGTGTGTGTCAGTGGACTACAGACAGAAGTGTGTGACAGTGGACTACAGACAGAAGTGTGTGTCAGTGGACTACAGACAGAAGTGTGTGACAGTGGACTACAGACAGAAGTGTGTGACAGTGGACTACAGACAGAAGTGTGTGTCAGTGGACTACAGACAGAAGTGTGTGACAGTGGACTACAGACAGAAGTGTGTGTCAGTGGACTACAGACAGAAGTGTGTGACAGTGGACTACAGACAGAAGTGTGTGTGACAGTGGACTACAGACAGAAGTGTGTGTCAGTGGACTACAGACAGAAGTGTGTGTGACAGTGGACTACAGACAGAAGTGTGTGTCAGTGGACTACAGACAGAAGTGTGTGTCAGTGGACTACAGACAGAAGTGTGTGACAGTGGACTACAGACAGAAGTGTGTGTGACAGTGGACTACAGACAGAAGTGTGTGTCAGTGGACTACAGACAGAAGTGTGTGACAGTGGACTACAGACAGAAGTGTGTGTCAGTGGACTACAGACAGAAGTATGTGACAGAAGTGTGTGACAGTGGACTACATACAGAAGTGTGTGTCAGTGGACTACAGACAGAAGTGTGTGTCAGTGGACTACAGACAGAAGTATGTGACAGAAGTGTGTGACAGTGGACTACATACAGAAGTGTGTGTCAGTGGACTACAGACAGAAGTGTGTGACAGTGGACTACAGACAGAAGTGTGTGTCAGTGGACTACAGACAGAAGTGTGTGACAGTGGACTACAGACAGAAGTGTGTGTCAGTGGACTACAGACAGAAGTGTGTGACAGTGGACTATAGACAGAAGTGTGTGTGACAGTGGACTACAGACAGAAGTGTGTGTCAGTGGACTACAGACAGAAGTGTGTGTGACAGTGGACTACAGACAGAAGTGTGTGTCAGTGGACTACAGACAGAAGTGTGTGTCAGTGGACTACAGACAGAAGTGTGTGACAGTGGACTACAGACAGAAGTGTGTGTGACAGTGGACTACAGACAGAAGTGTGTGTCAGTGGACTACAGACAGAAGTGTGTGACAGTGGACTACAGACAGAAGTGTGTGTCAGTGGACTACAGACAGAAGTGTGTGACAGTGGACTACAGACAGAAGTGTGTGTCAGTGGACTACAGACAGAAGTGTGTGACAGTGGACTACAGACAGAAGTGTGTGTGACAGTGGACTACAGACAGAAGTGTGTGTGACAGTGGACTACAGACAGAAGTGTGTGTCAGTGGACTACAGACAGAAGTGTGTGTGACAGTGGACTACAGACAGAAGTATGTGACAGTGGACTACAGACAGAAGTGTGTGTGACAGTGGACTACAGACAGAAGTGTGTGTCAGTGGACTACAGACAGAAGTGTGTGACAGAAGTGTGTGTGACAGTGGACTACAGACAGAAGTATGTGACAGTGGACTACAGACAGAAGTGTGTGTGACAGTGGACTACAGACAGAAGTATGTGACAGTGGACTACAGACAGAAGTGTGTGTGACAGTGGACTACAGACAGAAGTGTGTGACAGTGGACTACAGACAGAAGTGTGTGTCAGTGGACTACAGACAGAAGTGTGTGACAGTGGACTACAGACAGAAGTGTGTGTGACAGTGGACTACAGACAGAAGTGTGTGTGACAGTGGACTACAGACAGAAGTGTGTGTCAGTGGACTACAGACAGAAGTGTGTGTGACAGTGGACTACAGACAGAAGTGTGTGACAGTGGACTACAGACAGAAGTGTGTGTCAGTGGACTACAGACAGAAGTGTGTGACAGTGGACTACAGACAGAAGTGTGTGTCAGTGGACTACAGACAGAAGTGTGTGTCAGTGGACTACAGACAGAAGTATGTGACAGTGGACTACATACAGAAGTGTGTGTCAGTGGACTACAGACAGAAGTGTGTGACAGTGGACTACAGACAGAAGTGTGTGACAGTGGACTACAGACAGAAGTGTGTGTCAGTGGACTACAGACAGAAGTGTGTGACAGTGGACTACAGACAGAAGTGTGTGTGACAGTGGACTACAGACAGAAGTGTGTATCAGTGGACTACAGACAGAAGTATGTGACAGAAGTGTGTGACAGTGGACTACATACAGAAGTGTGTGTCAGTGGATTACAGACAGAAGTGTGTGACAGTGGACTACAGACCCTGCAGAAGTGTGTGTCAGTGGACTACAGACAGAAGTGTGTGTCAGTGGATTACAGAGAGAAGTGTGTGTCAGTGGACTACAGACAGAAGTGTGTGACAGTGGACTACAGACAGAAGTGTGTGTCAGTGGACTACAGACAGAAGTGTGTGACAGTGGACTACAGACAGAAGTGTGTGACAGTGGACTACAGACAGAAGTGTGTGACAGTGGACTACAGACAGAAGTGTGTGTCAGTGGATTACAGACAGAAGTGTGTGACAGTGGACTACAGACAGAAGTGTGTGTCAGTGGACTACAGACAGAAGTGTGTGACAGTGGACTACAGACAGACGTGTGTGTCAGTGGACTACAGACAGAAGTGTGTGTCAGTGGACTACAAACAGAAGTGTGTGTCAGTGGACTACAGACAGAAGTGTGTGACAGTGGACTACAGACAGACGTGTGTGTCAGTGGACTACAGACAGAAGTGTGTGTCAGTGGACTACAGACAGAAGTGTGTGTCAGTGGACTACAGACAGAAGTGTGTGTCAGTGGACTACAGACAGAAGTATGTGACAGAAGTGTGTGACAGTGGACTACAGACAGAAGTGTGTGACAGTGGACTACAGACAGAAGTGTGTGTCAGTGGACTACAGACCCTGCAGAAGTGTGTATCAGTGGACTACAGACAGAAGTGTGTGTCAGTGGACTACAGACAGAAGTGTGTGTCAGTGGACTACAGACCCTGCAGAAGTGTGTATCAGTGGACTACAGACAGAAGTGTGTGTCAGTGGACTACAGACAGAAGTGTGTGTCAGTGGACTACAGACCCTGCAGAAGTGTGTGACAGTGGACTACAGCAGGGACGTGCGGTGAGGTTTGTGATTGGGGAGGCACTGACTTTAAAAGTCAGATTTACAATCATTATTCAAATAAAATAGCATTTAATCACCAATGCAATGACATCCACAAACTTTATATACTGTAAAGATAAGAGAACCAGCTTCTTTTAATAATCTCACAACAAATCTAGCTGCTGACTCTGCTCCGCATCAAACAACATCTTTAAGAAGCGCAGGTGCGAGAGACGCGAGGAGAGAGAGACGCGAGGAGAGAGGAGCAGAGAGAGACAGAGAGGAGCAGAGAGACGGAGACGCGAGGAGACGGAGACGCGAGGAGAGAGAGACGGAGACGCGAGGAGAGAGAGACGCGAGGAGAGAGGAGCAGAGAGAGACAGAGAGGAGCAGAGAGACGGAGACGCGAGGAGAGAGAGAGACGGAGACGCGAGGAGAGAGACGGAGACGCGAGGAGCAGAGAGAGACGGAGACGCGAGGAGCAGAGAGAGACGGAGACGCGAGGAGAGAGAGACGCGAGGAGAGAGGAGCAGAGAGAGACAGAGAGGAGCAGAGAGAGACGGAGACGCGAGGAGCAGAGAGAGACGGAGACGCGAGGAGAGAGAGACGCGAGGAGAGAGGAGCAGAGAGAGACAGAGAGGAGCAGAGAGAGACAGAGAGGAGCAGAGAGACGGAGACGCGAGGAGCAGAGAGAGACGGAGACGCGAGGAGAGAGAGACGCGAGGAGCAGAGAGAGACAGAGAGGAGCAGAGAGACGGAGACGCGAGGAGAGAGAGACGGAGACGCGAGGAGAGAGAGACGCGAGGAGAGAGGAGCAGAGAGAGACAGAGAGGAGCAGAGAGAGACAGAGAGGAGCAGAGAGACGGAGACGCGAGGAGCAGAGAGACGCGAGGAGAGGAGCAGAGAGAGACGCGGGGAGAGAGGAGCAGAGAGAGACAGAGAGGAGCAGAGAGACGAAGACGCGAGGAGAGAGAGACGCGAGGAACATAAACAATAATTTAAACAAGTTGCAGAACTCTTGAGCAGTGTTTGAATCAGTGTTTTTCGGAAAAGCACTACTTTGCCGGTATCTGTCAATGTTCAACATAAAACACAGATTAACAAACTCCTCCCCCGCAGCCGGACGCAGAGAGAGACGAGAGAGCAGAGAGAGAGCAGAGAGAGACAGAGAGAGACCAGAGAGAGACGAGAGAGAGACGCGAGAGAGAGAGACCAGAGAGAGAGCAGAGAGAGACCAGAGAGAGAGCAGAGAGAGACCGAGAGAGAGCAGAGAGAGACCAGAGAGAGAGAGAGAGAGAGAGACCGAGAGAGAGACCAGAGAGAGACGAGAGAGAGACGAGAGAGAGACCGAGAGAGAGAGCAGAGAGAGACAGAGAGAGAGCAGAGAGAGAGACGCGAGAGAGAGACGAGAGAGAGCGAGGAGCAGAGAGAGACCGAGAGAGAGACCGAGAGAGAGAGAGACAGAGAGGAGACAGAGAGAGAGACCGAGAGAGAGCAGAGAGAGACCAGAGAGAGAGCAGAGAGAGGAGAGCGAGAGAGAGAGAGCAGAGAGAGACCAGAGAGAGACCGAGAGAGAGGAGCAGAGAGAGACGAGAGAGAGACCAGAGAGAGAGACCAGAGAGAGAGCAGAGAGAGACCAGAGAGAGAGCAGAGAGAGAGACCGAGAGGAGCAGAGAGAGACCAGAGAGAGACCAGAGAGAGAGAGACGCGAGAGAGAGAGAGCAGAGAGAGACCAGAGAGAGAGCAGAGAGAGCAGAGAGACGAGAGAGCAGAGAGAGCAGAGAGAGAGACCGAGGAGAGAGAGACCGAGGAGAGAGGAGCAGAGAGAGACAGAGAGGAGACCAGAGAGAGAGACAGAGAGGAGCAGAGAGAGACGAGAGGAGCGAGAGAGACCAGAGAGAGACAGAGAGGAGCAGAGAGAGACCAGAGAGAGACGAGAGAGAGAGACCAGAGAGAGACCAGAGAGAGACGAGCAGAGAGAGACCAGAGAGAGAGCAGAGAGAGAGACAGAGAGAGAGCAGAGAGAGAGAGACGAGAGGAGCAGAGAGAGACGAGAGAGCGAGAGAGAGAGAGACCGAGAGAGAGAGCAGAGAGAGACCAGAGAGGAGACAGAGAGAGACAGAGAGAGACCAGAGAGAGAGACCGAGAGAGAGAGCAGAGAGAGACCAGAGAGAGACGAGAGAGAGAGACAGAGAGAGACCAGAGAGAGAGCAGAGAGAGACCGAGAGAGAGAGAGCAGAGAGAGACCAGAGAGAGACCAGAGAGAGACAGAGAGAGAGCCAGAGAGAGACCAGAGAGAGAGCAGAGAGAGACAGAGAGAGAGCAGAGAGAGACGAGAGAGCGAGAGAGAGAGCAGAGAGAGACAGAGAGAGAGCCAGAGAGAGAGACCAGAGAGAGAGACCAGAGAGAGACCAGAGAGAGACCAGAGAGAGACCAGAGAGAGAGCCAGAGAGAGACCAGAGAGAGACCAGAGAGAGAGACCAGAGAGAGACCAGAGAGAGACCAGAGAGAGACCAGAGAGAGACCAGAGAGAGAGCAGAGAGAGACCAGAGAGAGAGCAGAGAGAGGAGACCGAGAGAGAGCAGAGAGAGACCAGAGAGAGAGACCAGAGAGAGACGCGAGGAGAGAGAGACCAGAGAGAGACAGAGAGAGAGCAGAGAGACGAGAGAGCGAGGAGCAGAGAGAGACCAGAGAGAGACGAGAGAGAGACCAGAGAGAGACCAGAGAGAGACAGAGAGAGAGCAGAGAGAGACCAGAGAGAGACCAGAGAGAGACCAGAGAGGAGACGAGAGAGAGGAGACCAGAGAGAGAGACCAGAGAGAGGACCAGAGAGAGACCAGAGAGGAGCAGAGAGAGACCGAGAGGAGCAGAGAGAGACAGAGAGAGACCAGAGAGAGACCGAGAGAGAGCAGAGAGAGGAGCAGAGAGAGACCAGAGAGAGACAGAGAGAGACCGAGAGAGAGACCGAGGAGAGAGAGCAGAGAGAGACCGAGAGAGAGAGAGACGCGAGAGAGAGGAGCAGAGAGAGACAGAGAGAGAGCAGAGAGAGAGACCGAGAGGAGCAGAGAGAGACGAGAGAGCGAGAGAGAGAGAGACGCGAGAGAGAGGAGCAGAGAGAGACCAGAGAGGAGCAGAGAGAGAGACCGAGAGAGAGACAGAGAGAGACCAGAGAGAGAGCAGAGAGAGAGACCGAGAGAGAGGAGCAGAGAGAGACAGAGAGGAGCCAGAGAGAGACCAGAGAGAGGAGCAGAGAGAGACCAGAGAGAGAGCAGAGAGAGACCGAGAGAGAGGAGCAGAGAGAGACAGAGAGAGAGCAGAGAGAGACCGAGAGAGAGAGAGACCGAGAGAGAGACCAGAGAGAGACCAGAGAGAGACCAGAGAGAGAGCAGAGAGAGACCAGAGAGAGACCAGAGAGAGACCAGAGAGAGAGACCAGAGAGAGACCAGAGAGAGAGAGAGAGAGACCAGGAGAGAGAGAGCAGAGAGAGAGCAGAGAGAGACCAGAGAGAGGACCAGAGAGAGAGACCAGAGAGAGAGCAGAGAGAGACCAGAGAGAGAGCAGAGAGAGACCAGAGAGAGAGCAGAGAGAGACCAGAGAGAGAGACCAGAGAGAGACCAGAGAGAGAGACCGAGAGAGAGAGACCAGAGAGAGACCAGAGAGAGACCAGAGAGAGAGCAGAGAGAGACCAGAGAGAGGACCAGAGAGAGACAGAGAGAGAGCAGAGAGAGACCAGAGAGAGAGCAGAGAGAGACCAGAGAGAGACCAGAGAGAGACCAGAGAGAGGACCAGAGAGAGACGAGACGCGAGAGAGAGAGACCGAGAGAGAGACCAGAGAGAGACCAGAGAGAGACGAGAGAGAGACCGAGAGACGAGAGAGACCAGAGAGAGACCAGAGAGAGGACCAGAGAGAGACGAGAGGAGAGAGAGACCAGAGAGAGACCAGAGAGAGAGCAGAGAGAGACCAGAGAGAGAGCAGAGAGAGACGAGAGCGAGAGAGAGAGAGACCGAGAGAGAGACCAGAGAGAGACAGAGAGAGAGCAGAGAGAGACCAGAGAGAGAGCAGAGAGAGACCGAGAGAGCAGAGAGAGACCAGAGAGAGGACCAGAGAGAGACCAGAGAGAGACAGAGAGAGAGACCAGAGAGAGAGCAGAGAGAGACCGAGAGAGAGACCAGAGAGAGAGCAGAGAGAGACCAGAGAGAGACCAGAGAGAGAGACCAGAGAGAGACAGAGAGCGAGAGAGAGAGAGACCAGAGAGAGAGAGAGGAGCAGAGAGAGACAGAGAGGAGCAGAGAGAGAGACCAGAGAGAGACCAGAGAGAGAGACCAGAGAGAGAGACCAGAGAGAGACCAGAGAGAGACCAGAGAGAGACCAGAGAGAGACCAGAGAGAGAGACCAGAGAGAGACCAGAGAGGAGACCAGAGAGAGACCAGAGAGAGAGCAGAGAGAGAGACCAGAGAGAGACCAGAGAGAGACCAGAGAGAGACCAGAGAGAGACCAGAGAGAGAGCAGAGAGAGACCAGAGAGAGACCAGAGAGAGAGACCAGAGAGAGACCAGAGAGAGACCAGAGAGAGACCAGAGAGAGACCAGAGAGAGACCAGAGAGAGACGAGAGAGAGACCAGAGAGAGACCAGAGAGAGACCAGAGAGAGAGACCAGAGAGAGAGCAGAGAGAGACCAGAGAGAGAGCAGAGAGAGACCAGAGAGGAGACAGAGAGAGAGACCAGAGAGAGACCAGAGAGAGACGAGAGAGCGAGGAGAGAGAGAGACGAGAGAGAGAGCAGAGAGAGACCAGAGAGAGAGCAGAGAGAGACAGAGAGAGAGAGCAGAGAGAGACCAGAGAGAGGACCAGAGAGAGACGAGAGAGAGACAGAGAGAGACCAGAGAGAGACAGAGAGGAGACCAGAGAGAGAGACCAGAGAGAGAGCAGAGAGAGACCAGAGAGAGACCAGAGAGAGACGAGAGAGAGAGAGCAGAGAGAGACGAGAGAGAGAGCAGAGAGAGAGACCAGAGAGAGACAGAGA